ACAATGTGTTTTTTTTTAAAAGAAAAGGCTAGACTGGAGGCAGGGCAGGGGTAAGAAGTAAGTACCACAACTGTGGAGACCGAAGATTTTAAAGATTTTAAAGGTTGAGAAAAGCTATCTAATAACATACAAAATCTGATATATAACATACGATAACATCTCTAATATCTAGTAACAAATCGGTACAGGGCTTCCCAGTTAGGTGAGCACGCTCCCCACTGGGACACTGAGGGCACAGGAAAAGTAAAATCGCCATTTTGCGGCCAAGGAAATAGCAGTTCAAAGGCAGGGGATTGGCCAGGTTGTGCTCCTCACCTCAAGGATACCGTCTTGCTACTTAATGACAATTAGGATAGAAACACTTTCCTTCCAAGGTCTTTCTATAAGACTCTGACCCTGGAAAAAGAAGGCAGGAAAGAGGCCCACTTACAAATGTTTCCAGGGTTTCTCCGAATGGCCAAAGTCACCTGGCTCATAAAGGAAGGGGGTTTCACGGACAAATAGATAAAGATGGTTTTGAAACACAGCATGTCTTTAGAATTCTTCAAGTGATTCCACTTTCTGCATTTGAAAAAAAGAAGAAAAAACGAGGCAACCTAAAGGCCCAAGAGAATCCAATGCAGAGGTGTCTGGGAAATCCTTGCCAATGAGGAAGCAGACTGGGAAAGACTGAGTCGGTGGCCACAGAAGACCGAGCCGGCATCTCCCAGGCTCCTGCACCACCTTCACACCAAAGTGCTCTGGAGCCTTTCTCAGGTGTCTTGCTGAAAAAGCCTTTCAGTGTAAAGGTTTGCCCTGTTTCCTTGGATTCCTGTGCAAATTATCAATTTAATATGGCAAATGTCGCAGGCGGCCTGGCTGTGGACGGAAGCCCGAGGGCGCTTAGTATACTTAGCAGCAGCACCCTACGGTTTCTTTTCCGTCCTTGGTAAGAACAGATTGGGATTTCCACCCCAAATGTTCCCATTAGCTATTTGTGCCCGACCTGTGGTAGAGCGTTCTGAGCTCCTGCTGGTCTGATCAGCCACAGCTGGACACACCGGACCCTGACTCCAACATGGTGATGTCATTGCGGTCATCTTCAAGAACAAAGGACGACTTCCAACCAGCCAAGAAGAGACAGCCATCCTCACTCCTTAACGATGCAGCAGCAGCTTTTCTGGGTCCCTAGAAACTCATAGGAGCAGAATGGAAACTCCTTGAGGGTAGCAGCTGTTCAGCTTTGTGTGTGCCCAGCACCAACATGAAGCCTTGCACGACAGATGCCTGCTGAATTAAGTTCTGGGCAAGAGCCAAGATCTTGGTCTGGTAATGAGCCCTGGACCGCATCGGCCTCGCATCCCACCACTGGTCTCACCTGGGTCCAATAGGATGTGTTTCCCAATGCCCGTGCCCAAGCCACCTGCCCACATTCTCTCACCAAGATGGGCTGTGAGGAGCAACATGCTGTCTTGGCAGCATGCTGCCTGCTTTGCTGTGCCCAGACAGTCTGCCATACCAACAATACTGCCGTGTCCCTGGCTGCCTCCTCCACCTCGTCTGGCAGAGGGCCCGTTCACTATTCAGGATAAGCCTGAAGAAAACCGAGGGCACAGACCAGCCTGTGCCCAGCCTATGCATCCAAAGATACAGATCAGTAACACGGGCCTGAAAAGACACACTGAACAACACACCATCCTGCAAGGCCCTAATGGATCAGCAAGCGAAAAAAATCCAATCAACACAGGGAGAATGGTCCCTCAGGAGCATGACCAACAGAAGCGCCATCAACGGGACATCCAAGTCCAGACCAAACAAGGGCCTGCACAGCTTTCACTCCTGCTTCTCTGAGCAGACCTGCCCGTGAAACGGTAAGAGAGGATCCACAGGAAGGTCCTGGAACAGGCCGCCCATCGGCCTGAACGTTCTTCCAGGAAGAGTGAGACAGACAAGGCCTCTTCACGCGCTAAGATTCTGAGATTCAGGGAACCAAACACTTCGGCTCTAGACCCAGGTGAAGAACAACGGCGGGGAGTTAACAAGTTCAGCTTGAGCAAAGAAGGTGACAGAAACCCCTGAGGATGCCATGCCACATTAATGCCCAGGAGCATGCCCGTCCTGTGGACTGCCGGGAAACAGCAACAGCATACGTCTCAGGTCTGGACATCAGAAATGGGCTTTCTCTGTGAGAGCAAAAGGTTCCAGGCTGACTGTGAATCTAGGAGGCAGAGTCAGAGAACCTAAGAGGTCCTGAAAAGAGCAGCTGCTGCCCCCAATCAAACGATTATTTCATGTGTGCATGGGATAAAGAGGTCTAGGTACACAACCCAGCCAGCCAGCCACCTGTACAGTCACCCCCAACAGGAACGCTCTCTTCTCCTAGGAAAGTCAAGAATAAATGATACATCTGGAGTAATGGCCAGTTTTAAGGTCAGCCTCGGCCAAATTTATTGGTTGACATCCACCACGTTGACTTGCTTGGAAAGCACATAGCCCACAATGGATACATTAGCAATTCAACCAATAACAAGGACAGGCTATTTCCTCCCTGTGCTATTTTCATTCTTATTCAGCCATAATGGTTAGTGTTGAGATTATCCTTTTAAATGGCAACACTAGCAAGTTTCAGCTCCAACAGTAATACTTGGAAAAGCCTATATAGACATGCACTGGGAAACACCAGCGTCACCTTGCCATAACTTCATCCCTCTGTTAGAATGTCGCTTGGTGTGACAGACACAAACCGGACGGCTCTCTGTGACCCTCCCCGCCATCACACCTGACCCAGCAGTCAGCTGACCACCACCAATCTGCTTAGCACATGAGCAGAAACGTGTTTTCACAGAACCAAATATGACAACAGCCAAGGGCCTTCACGGCCAACTCTGTCATAGAAGCAAACTTTGTAGGCGTAAGCCAAGTGTTTAGTCCATTGGGCATTTACCAGTCTCACAAAACCCGACCATGGTCACCTCTTGTATATTTATTTCATTTTAATTATGATCCCGCCTGCCAGTCGCTGGCCACCAATCACTGTCAGCCAGTTCGCTGGTCACCCAGGGCTCCAAAGGTCTGCTTTTTTTGGCACTAGGCCTTTCTATCTCCGAATACAATTAAGCAGCTCAGACACTAAAAGTGCTGTGTGGCAGGCATATTTACCAAAGAAAGATCCTGCCATTCTGCAGAGAGCTTACTAAGCCTACAAGATCTTACTTTTCACCTCAGAGTTGACGAGAATTAAGTAATAACATGAGAATTCAAGGGAGCAGCTTCTTCAGGGTCAAATTCTAATGTGTTACTGCAACTTCACTTGCAGCAAAATACCCAGAAAAGGACTAGGAGGTGGTTTTCACTGGACTAAGAAAGCAGAAGTTTAAATGGCCTCATTCAGGAGTTTATTTACCAAGGAATAGGCAGCAGTTTTGCAGTTGATTCATTCATGAAGAAGCCCCCCAAAGGCACTGACTAATGAATATTGTATGTTCCCAGTACAGACGATTCATTCACTAGAAAGTCAAGCCCATTCAAACTCCCTGGCCATTTGCATTCGAGCCTTACCAAAACAATCATTTCTTGACTAAGTCTTCTCTTCTCTTCTCTTCTCTTCTCTTCTCTTCTCTAGGATATCAGTTCACTTTGGTTTTAGGTGTTCTTGGTGTCATGAATATGACCGGATCATAAAATCATTCAATTAGAGTCACAAGGGATCTGAGTGATCAGAGTACAAACCCCTCATTTTACAGATGGAAAGACAAGGGCCCAGAAAGGAGAAGCCACTTCCCCAAGGTCACCCAGAAGCAAGTTACCAGAGCCAGAATTCAAATCCAGGGCTCTTTCCCCTAAACCAGTGGTGTCAAACTCCTATTGAAATGGAGGCCACTAGTTGTGAACAGATCCAGCCATTCTGGAGAGCAATTTGGAACTCTGCCCAAAGGGCTATAAAACTGCATACCCTTCGACCCAGCAATAGCACTTCTAGGGCTATATCCCAAAGACCGTAAAAACGGGAAAAGGACCCACATGTCCAAAGATATTCATAGCAGCTCTTTCTGTGGTGGCAAAAATTGGAAATTGAGGTTATTCCCATCAATTGGGGAATGGCTGAACAAGCTGTGGTATATGATTGTGATGGAATACTATCGTGCTATAAGAAATGACAGGCAGGATGGTTTCAGAAAAACCTGGGAAGATTTATATGAACTGAGGCTGAGTGAAGTGAGCAGAACCAAGAGAATAGTGCACACAGTAACAGCAACATTGTACAATGATCATCTGTAAATTACTTAGCTATTCTCTGCAATACAGTGATCCAAGACAATTCTAAAGGACTCATGATAGAAAATGCTATGACCTCTGGAGAAGGAACTGATGGAGCCTGAATGCAGACCAAAGCAGACTTTTTTTCACTTTTTAAATTTTTTTGTGGGTTTTTTTTTTGGTCTGTTTTCTTTCACAGCATGACTAGTATGGAAATATGTTCCACAAGACTGCACACGCATAACCTATATCAAATTGCTTACCATCCCATGGAGAGGGGAAAGGAAGGAGGGAGAGAATTTGGAACTCAAAATTTTAAAAAAATGAACATTAAAATTTGCTTTTACACATAATTGGGGAGAATAAAATATAATTAAAAAAATAAAAACTGGTTTAAAATTATTTTTACATGTAACTGGGGAAAAACAAAATACTAAATAAAAGCGTAAAATTTAAAAAACAACCTTTGGTTTAGGGTCATCCTAGGTAGCTACTATATCTAGGAATAATGGAATTAAACATTAAAAGAAAACTTTTAAAATGTTTTGGGTAAAAAAATTGTCTTTAGAAAGAAGGGAAGGAAGAGGCAGTAAGAGTAAAGGGGAAGAAAAGGGAAAGGGATAATAAAAGGGGGGAGGGACTGAAGGAGGCGGTGGTCAAAAGCAAAACACTAGTGAATGGGGGAAAGGAAAAAGGAGAAAGAAAAGCATAAATGGGGGAAAAGGGGGAAAGGATGGAGAAAAAGACACAAATAGTAATCATACCTGTGAATGTGAATGGGATGAACTCTCCCATAAAGCAGAAACGGATTGCAGAGTGGATTAAAAACCATAATCCTACAATATGTTGTTTACAGGAAACACATCTGAAAAAGAGTGACACATACAGGGTAAAGGTAAAAGGCTGGAGCAGAATATATTATGTGTCAGCTGAAGTAAAAAAAGCAGGGGTAGCAATCCTGATCTCAGACAAAGCAAAAGCAAAAATAGATCTAATCAAAAGAGATAAGGAAGGAAACTACATCCTGCTAAAAGGCACCATAGACAATGAAGTAATATCATTACTAAACATATATGCACCAAATGGTATAGCATCCAAATTCTTACAGGAGAAGTTCAGGGAGTTACAGGAAGAAATAGACAGCAAAAATATACTAGTGGGGACCTGAACCTCCCCCTCTCGCACTAGATAAGTCTAACCACAAAATAAACAAGAAAGAAGTTAAGGAGGTGAATAGAACATTAGAAAAGTTAGGTATGATAGACCTCTGGAGAAAACTGAATGGGGATAGAAAGGAATATACTTTTTTCTCGGCAGTACATGGCACATACACAAAAATTGACCATGTACTAGGGCATAAAAACCTCACAATCCAATGCAGAAAGGCAGAAATATTAAATGCATCCTTTTCAGATCATGATGCAATAAAAATTATATGTAATAAAGGGCCATGGAAAGATAGACTAAAAAATAATTGGAAACTAAATAATCTAATCCTAAAAAATGATTGGGTCAAACAACAAATCATAGAAACAATAATTTCATTCAAGAGAATGACAATAATGAGACAACATACCAAAACCTATGGGATGCAGCGAAAGCAGTTCTTAGGGGAAGTTTTATATCTCTAAATGCTTACATAAATAAAATAGAAAAAGAGGAGATTAATGAATTGGGCATACAACTAAAAAAACTAGAAAAAGAACAAATTAAAAATCCTCAACTAAACACCAAATTAGAAATATTGAAAACCAAAGGAAAAATTAATAAAATTGAAATTAAGAAAACTATTGAACTAATAAATAAAACTAAGAGCTGGTTTTATGAAAAAACCAATAAAATAGATAAACCTTTGGTTAATTTAATTAAAAAAAGAAAGAAGAAAACCAAATTACTAGTATCAAGAATGAAAAGGGTGAAGCTACCACCAAGGAAGAGGAAATTAAAACAATAATTAGGAATTATTTTGCCCAACTATATGCCAACAAATTTGACAATCTTAGTGAAATGGATACATATTTACAAAAATATAAATTGCCCAGATTAACGAAGAGGAAGTAAAATACTTAAATAACCCCATCTCAGAAAAAGAAATTGAACAAGCCATTGATGAACTCCCTAGGAAAAAATCTCCAGGGCCAGATGGATTTACATGCGAATTCTATCAAACATTTAAAGAACAATTAATTCCAATACTATATAGACTATTTGGGAAAATAGGTGAAGAAGGAGTCTTACCAAATTCTTTTTATGATACAAATATGGTGTTGATACCTAAACCAGGAAGAGTCAAAATAGAGAAAGAAAATTATAGACCAATTTCTCTAATGAATATAGATGCAAAAATTTTAAACAAAATACTAGCAAATAGATTGCAGCAACTTATCACAAGAATAATACACTATGACCAGGTAGGATTTATACCAGGAATGCAGGGTTGGTTCAATATTAGGAAAACTATCAGCATCATTGAGCATATCAACACAAAACCAACAGAAACCACATGATCATCTCAATAGATGCAGAAAAAGCTTTTGATAAAATACAACACCCATTCCTATTAAAAACACTAGAAAGCATAGGTATAAATGGAGTCTTCCTTAAAATAATAAATAGCATCTATCTAAAACCTTCAGCAAGCATTATATGTAATGGGGACAGGCTAGAAGCATTTCCAATAAGATCGGGGGTGAAACAAGGATGTCCATTATCACCACTGTTATTCAATATTGTACTGGAAACCTTAGCTTTAGCAATAAGAGAAGAAAAAGAAATTGAAGGCATTAGAATAGGCAAAGAAGAAACAAAGCTATCACTCTTTGCAGATGACATGATGATATACTTAGAGAATCCTAGAGAATCAAGTAAAAAACTACTTGAAATAATAAACAACTTTAGCAAAGTTGCAGGCTATAAAATAAACCCACATAAATCATCAGCATTTCTATATATTACCAACAAAGCCCAACAGCAAGAGATAGAAAGAGAAATCCCATTTAAACTTACTGTAGACATTATAAAATATTTAGGAGTCTACCTCCCAAACAAACCCAGGAACTCTATGAACACAATTACAAAACACTTTTCACACAAATAAAATCAGATCTAAATAATTGGAAAAACATCAGTTGCTCATGGGTAGGCCGAGCTAATATAATAAAAATGACAATCCTACCTAAGCTAATTTACTTATTCAGTGCCATACCAATCAAACTACCAAAATTATTTTATAGAGTTAGAAAAAATAATAACAAGATTCATTTGGAAAAACAAAAGGTCCAGAATATCAAAGGAACTAATGAAAAGAAATGCAGGGGAAGGTGGCCTAGCAATTCCAGATCTTAAATTGTATTATAAAGCAGCAATCATCAAAACTGCTTGGTACTGGCTAAGAAATAGGGAGGTGGATCAGTGGAATAGGTTAAATATGCAAGACACAGTAGTCAATGACTATAGTAATCTATTATTTGATAAACCCAAAGACCCCAGCTTCTGGGATAAGAACCCACTCTTTGAAAAAAACTGCTGGGAAAACTGGAAAAGAGTATGGCAGAAACTAGGCATAGACCCAAATCTCACACCATATACCAAAATAAAGTCAAAATGGGTTCATGACTTAGATATAAAGGCTGATACCATAAGTAAACTGGGAGAACAAGGAATAGTTTACCTATCAGATCTATGGAGAACAGAAGAATTCATGACCAAACAGGAGATAGAGAACATTATGAAAAGCAAAATGGATAATTTTGATTACATTAAATTGAAAAGTTTTTGCACAAACAAAGCCAATGCAACTAAGATTAGAAGGAAGGTAGAAAATTGGGAAAGAATTTTTACAACCAGTCTCTCTGATAAAGGCCTCATTTCTAAAATATATAGAGAATTAAGACAAATTTATAAGAACACAAGCCATTCCCCAATTGATAAATGGTCAAAGGATATGAACAGACAGTTCTCAGATGAAGAAATTAAAGCCATCTATAGTCATATGAAAAAATGCTCTAAATCGTATTGATTAGAGAAATGCAAATCAAAACAACTCTGAGGTACCACATCACACCTATCAGATTGGCCAACATGACAAAACAGGAAAATGATAAATGTTGGAGAAGATGTGGGAAAATTGGAACACTAATACATTGTTGGTGGAGTTGTGAAATGATCCAACCATTTTGGAGAACAATTTGGAACTATGCCCAAAGGGCTACAAAAATGTGCATACCCTTTGATCCAGCAATAGCACTTCTAGGGCTATATCCCAAAGAGATCAAACAAATGGGAAAAGGACCCACATGTACAAAAATATTTATAGCAGCTCTTTTTGTGGTGGCAAAGAATTGGAAATTGAGAGGATGCCCATCAATTGGGGAATGGCTGAGCAAGTTGTGGTATATGAATATAAGGGAATACTATTGTTCTATAAGAAATGATGAACAGGCTGACTTCAGAAAAACCTGGAAAGACTTATATGGTCTGATGCTGAGTGAAGTGAGCAGAACCAAGAGGACTTTGTACACAATAACAGCCATGTTATGCGATGACTAATATTGTTAAACTGAACCCTTCTCAGCATTACAAGGATCTAAGACATCTCCAGAGGCCTCAGGATGGAAAATGCTGTCCACATCCAAAGAACGAACTATGGAAGTTGAATCACTATCACTTATTTTTACTTTCTGTTGAGTTTCGTTTCATCTTTCTGATGGTTCCTCCTATTGGTTTTAATTTTTACTTACAATTTCACTAATGTGAAAATATGTTTAATGGGTGTATAAATGTAAAGCCTTTATCAGATTGTGCGCCGTCTTGGGGAGGGTGGGGGGAGGAAGGAGGAAAAAAAGTTTCAACTCAAAAGCATATGGAAGTGATTATTGATAAATCAAAATAAATTAATAAATATTTTTAAATGGCTTTACATATAACTGGGGGAAAATATTATTTAAAAACCAATAAAAAAAAGGGGAAAAAAGAAAGAAACAGGGGCCATTAAATCATACAGAAGGATCCCTCTGGGCATATATTCACTTAGAAAACCACATACTAACATTATCTGTTTTTGTATGTTTTGTATCTATGTAATTGTATTTTTATTTATTTTGTTAAAATATTTCCCAATTCCATTTTAATCTGGTACAGATCTAAACTCAGGAGTGTTTCAGGCCATGTGAATGATAACTCTGCAGTGAGTAATTTCACTTCACTGCTAGAATAGCATATATTATACTGCCGGAAAGCTCTTCATAAATGCTGTATCATAGGCCAGGAGTTCATTATTGTCTCCAAGACCCTTTCACACACAACACAACCAGCCCTAGTATCACAGGAAGCAATATTTTAAACAAATAAAAATGGCGGACACAGTAATGGGGAAGAGAAATCACTGGGCAGGTCATCAGGAGAGCTGGGTTCTGGTCTTAGCCCGGACGGTAACTAGTTATGCAACCTTCAGAAAGTCTCTTCTAAGAACGTATGTGCCTCTTCTGTAAAATGAGGGGGCTGAATTAAACTGACTGGCGTGAGAAAGGAAACCAGGAGCCAAGCTCACCTGTGGTCAGGACTCAGGAAAGTCAGGGTAGACTGCGCCTGAGCCTCCTTCTCTGTCTGCTAGATTCCGGCTCATGGCCGGATTCCACTCTGCCCTGGTATATGGTGGGTATATGCGAGGTGAGGGGTGGCAGCAAACAGGCACACACTGCCAGAGACCACACTAACAAAACAGGATCCAGACAGAAGAAGCCCATTCGGCAGGCGGCCCCACCCTCAGGGTCGAGCCTCCCACTAACCCTGCTCAACTCTTCTCTCA